TGCACTTTTCTGCAATTTTCAACCCAATTGGCTTGAACTCCTCACAAGTCCTTTGGTCCTTTCCTCTCAGTGCTATATTCCTAATGATAGACCAACATATCTCTCGGCTCAAACAATCTAACTGAATGGTGTGTGAACTTCCCATAATTGTGGCAACAGTACGCTTACGTGTAGTCACCAAAATCCTACTACCCGGAGCACCACATTTGAAAGTAGCATTCAGTCCTTCAAAGTCTTTATCTTTTTCTGTCCATACATCATCTAGAACAAGAAGGTACTTCTTCCCCTCTATGGACTTGCAAATTTCATCTAAAAGAGCATCTAATGGAACTGACTCCAACTGGAGGATTGCTAGTTTATCTAGGCCTTAAAGACCCACAATTATTGATTTTGCAACTTTGCTCTCATCAAAAATGTCTGAAACACAAGTCCAGACTCTACAAGTGAAATGTTGTTTAACATTTTCATCATTGTAGACCAGTTGGGCGAGAGCAGTCTTACCAATACCTCCAATCCCTACTACAGAGATGGTTTGGATTGGGCTATCCTCTTTTTCTTTGCTAGTCTCATACAACAAATGGCTGATTATTTCATTCTTGACATCATCTCGACCAAGCAAGCTCGACTCATCAATAAAAGACTTGCTTTCTTCTTGTCTTGGCAGTTTATTGATTGGCATGCTTGTTAATTGATACCTAACTTTATCCTCAGCAATCTTATCTAACCTTCCATTGATTTCTTTTATGTTGAGAGCAATGCCACGGTATCTAACAGGGTGAAAAGAAAAACATCTGAGGAAAACGCATACCTTCCTCTGAAGAAAAGAAGCATTTTCCTCAGCACCATCAGTTTGCCGATACGAGAGTACAGTCCTCCACTCATCCAAAGCATCCTCCATGTCAAGAGATTCTTCTCTGAGCCGATGTAGCCATAACTTGACAGGTTCATCTGATATTTGCTTCTCCTCAGCATCTTTAAGTAAAGCTCTGATGGATGTGAGGTTATTTTTGAGGTTTCTCAGATCTTCCTTAACACCCCTCAGTAGTCTCACTTCCTCTAGAGCTCCTTCATAGATGATTGTTGTTATTTGCTGTAAGATTGTAGAAACAAGTGCTTCTGCCATTTTTGCAGACAA